GAAATAAAGCAGCAATAAACATGGGGGTACAAGTATCTTTTTCAATCAGTGTTTTTGTGTCTTTTGGATAGATACCTAGGAGTGGGATTGCTGGGTTGTAGGGAAGCTCCATGTTTAGCAGATTGAGGCAATCCAAACACTTTTCCATAGTGGTTGTACTAGTTTGCATTCCCACCAGCATTGCAGGAGTGACTCACCATTTCTGAACTGCACCAAACCTTTCAAATAGCACTTAATATCTCTGCTAGTTTTTAATTTTTACTTGTAATTAATTTCTACATTTTTGGGAAAATTTTAAAAACCAAACATGATGAAGGGTCTTGATTTCTCCTCGTTCTCAATAACCCTCTTTAGTGTTCTGAGGTGTGATCCAGCATCTCTCATGCAATGTTGCAAAGCCTTGACTGTCCTGTTCTGGGTGAGAGACATCCGGAACCCTGCCCTGTATGCTGTGCTGTGTCTGGCTTCCTTCACTAGCTGAACGACATTGAGGTCAGAGAACACCAACAGGTCAGTTCCCGATATCCGATGCCCAGTATGCTGCCAACCTCACAGGGTACAGGGACTGAGGAAACTAACGTCCTGTGGAGAAGTGTCTTTTGCCAGTCTTAGTCATGGGGTTGAGTGGGTCCTACCCTAGTGCTCTTCTGGTGGAAAGACCAGGGCCTGCCCGCCATGGCCTCAACTTCTAGTGCCACCAGTCAATGAGTACCAACGACCTGTCTCTTTAAAAGCAAAAGCCAGAGAGTTGGGCTCACTGTGTGCATTTGTAATTTTGAAGGGATGTTAATAACCCCTGGGAGGGAGCCCACGAGGGAGGGCTGCTGTCTGGACCGAGCACCTGCTACTGTCCTGACCCAACAGTCATCATGCCCACGCCTGCATCTGGCCAGAGCACAGCTTGGGGCTGCGCCTTTGCTGAGAAATGATCCTGTGGGCTCAGCAGCATGGCGATGAAGGCGATGGGTTCTGTCCCTGGGGCTTCAGCTGTGCGGCTTTGACATCTCTATCGGTCACATCCTGCGCTCCTCACCCTTAGCTGGGTTCTTGTCTGGGTTAGAACAAGAGGTCTTTTCTGAGTCATCAGCTGTGGCTACTGATGTGGCCACTGTGGATCCTCACACCTCCAGAGATTGTCATCAGCAGCTGGATGGGGGCGGGGCAGCCTTCATAGAAAGCCTGGTCAGATGACGCTGCAAACCAGAAAGGCGCCCCAGCTCACGAGCCATCACCCCTCCATCCTCTCTGTGGAAGGACGCCCCAGCCGCTGAACCTGGGCAGCGAGATGCAGCTGCTCCTGCTCCTACTGCTGCTGGCCTCTTTGCTGCCACCCAGGGCAGAGACAGGTGAGTTACAAGCCAGACTCACAGGCCATGGGACCCTGCCCCTTCTGCATATGGGGATCTCCAGGATGTTCTGAGCCCCAGCTCCTGTCCCATCTCAGACCGCAGGATGGTGTGGACAAGCTGCCAGCAGGGCCAGCAGGCACAAGGCTGTTCTGAAGAAGAGCCCAGGGAGCTGCCCCCTGCCCCTCTCCCTCCCCCTGCCCCAGCCAGCCCTGCCTCTGCTGTCTGGAGAGTGTGGCCTCCCTGGAAGTGCCTGCAGAGGGGGGAACCTGACCAGGAGAAAACACTAACTCCCCTGCCAAGGGTAGCCTGGGCCTGGCCGGGTGTGGGCGAGACAGGGGCTCCCATTGCATCCCCCAGGAGAGAGGACGCCAGACCTGCTGACCACACTGTCCCCAGAAGACACTGCTTTGCCTTTGCTCAGCCCTGGCCCTCACCCCTCTCTACAACACCCGCTGTCTCCCTGCTCTTTAGCAGCTCCCCTGTTTTCAAGGCTGAGCCACTGTTTGGCAGGCCCAAGCTTGCCTGGTCTCCAGAGTCCCCAGCACTAGCCCCTGCAGGCCTGGTCAGCCTGTGGGGCCCTCGCTTCCTGCAGCCATGAGCAGGGGCAGCGGCAGGTGTCAGGCCCAGGGCCCAGGCTACAACACCCAGATCCTGAGGCTGAGCTTGGGCTCCAGAAAGCAGCACTGTCTGGGAAAACACAGACTCACAAGGCCTCGCCACTAGGGGACAGAAAACCAGGACAGGAATTTTCCCGAGGCTCCAGCATTCTCTGTCCCACACAGGTGTGCTCACCCCAGCATGGGCGGGAGGCGGAGCCAAGGCTGGCAGCAGGCTCCCCCCTGCAGAGGGGAAGTGGAGCCTTGGGTCTCCCCCCACTGCCTCAGGCTGTCCAGACCCCCAATACTCCCCAGGCTGAGCCATCGGGGTGGGGCAGTGAGGGGTGCACGAGCAGACCGGATATTTCTTCAGGAGAGATCATCGGGGGACATGAGGCCCGTCCCCACTCCAGACCCTACATGGCATTTCTACGGATATCGGTTCAGAACTCTGAGAGCTGGTTTGGTGAGAAATTGCCATTTAAGACCAAGATGTGTGGAGGTTTCCTGGTGCGAGCGAACTTCGTGCTGACAGCCGCTCACTGTAACGGGAGGTGAGGAGCAGCGGGGCCCACCCTCCTGAGAGCCCTACCTCTCCCTGTGGCCCCCAGCTCTAAGTGCAAGTGCCAGAAGTGTCCCCAGAGGTGAGACAGGCACAAGCAGCTGGGGCGAGGGGCAGGGCAGGGGTGGCTGCAGGGGAGAGAGAGCTCAGCCCTGTAGCTTCAATGCTGCCCTGCTTTGCATCAGATGCAGGCTACTGGATTCCCGTGTCCCAGGGCCACCATCCCTGGAGTCCATGGCGCACTCACCAAGGGCTCTAGAGGCAGAGGGAGCAGAGGGCTGAGCCCTGAGACCTCTGTTGCCTTGATTCCCCCTCAGCTGCAGTCCTCCACCCCGCCTGGCTGTGTCTCCTGTGACCTCTCCCTCTGCTCTGTGTGCAGGGCAATCACGGTCACCCTCGGGGCCCACGACATCTCCAAGCAGGAGAGGACCCAGCAGGTCATCACTGTGAAGAGAGCCATCCCCCACCCAGACTACAATCATACGACCTTGGCCAATGACATCATGTTGCTGCAGGTGCGGTAACCCCCTGCAGCTCCTGCACATTTACTCCTGAGCTGCTGCATCCCTCAGACCTCATTCCCTTTTCCCCTTCCCAATTATGGCTCTTTACTCTCCTCGCGGTGTGAGAAGGCAACCTCATGGCTGTCCTGTGGGTCAGTAGCAGATAAGGTTTCCTTTCTTTTCTTTCTGTCAGCTTCACAGCAAGGCCACATTGAATCCCTATGTGAAGACCATCAGGCTGCCCAGGAAGAACCACTCAGTGATGCCGGGGAAGGTGTGCACTGTGGCCGGATGGGGGCGCTTAGGCGTCAATGCCCAGGCTGCAGATAAACTGCAGGAGGTAGACCTTAAAGTTGAATATAAGGATGCTTGCCTCCATCGCTACAAACACCCTTTCAACAACACCCTCCAGATATGTGTGGGGGACCCAGGCACAACGAAGTCCTCCTTTAAGGTAAGATCCACCATGCCCATCTGGGTACAACCAGCTTCTAGGAGTGCAGGGCAGTGAGACAGCCATGTCCTGATTGACTCGGCCTCCACCAGCCATCTCCGGTGCTGCTGTCCTTGGGGATAGGAGACTGGCTCAGCTACCCCCTGGGCAGCGGCTCCTGGACAGGAGAGGGAGGGGATTGCCAGGGCTGGTGGGAGCTCTGAGACCTGCCCTACCGGGGAACCCAAAGCCAGGAATTGGAGGCTCAGGACCAAGAGAACACCCAGCTCAGTTCTTCGTCCATCTGCCCACAGGGTGACTCTGGGGGCCCCCTGGTGTGTGACCAGGTGGCTGAGGGGATCGTCTCCTTTGGGAAAAAAACTGGGAAGCCTCCCCGAGTCTACACCAGGATCTCCAGGTTTGTGCCCTGGATACAAAAAACAATGTCGCAGTTCAAACTTCAATGACCAGGCGGAAGCGCCCGGGACTGAGCTAACTGTCTTCTCTGGGAGAGGCTGGAGCAGGGTGGAGGGCTGGGGGCTGCCAGGGACTTTATTACTTTCATCTCAAGGGGGAAATCATGGAGTCCTCTTCTCTTTCCAAATGCTCTATAGTTTATAGTTTGAATTTTTCCTTCTGTTTTTCTACAACCTCTAAATCCTTCCTAAAGAATGTATTTGGGCCCCTCCCTGGTGGCGCAGTGGGTTGAAGCACTGCACTGCTAAGCTAAGCTAAGCTGTGGCCGCTTCAGTTTGAGTTCAATCCCCACCCCGGAGGTGATCCCCATGGCTGGGCAGACCCCTCCTGACCCGCCCGCTGCTCCCCTCGGCAGTGTACTTCCTCAGTTGACATGTTCTGCTTCCCTCTCTGTCTCTGTCTCTGGTGAATCTTCTCACTGCCCCTGTACCTCTGGCCTGTATCCCATTTCTGTATGCATAAATAAATAAAAGATTTAAAAAAATAAAAGTGTTTGGAAAGTGTTGTCATTTGAAAACATCCACTTTAAAGAAGATTGAAAATTAAGGAATGCTGAATTGTTTTCTCTGACCAGAGTGTTTACACTATGGGAGTATAAATTCTGGATTCAAAAGTAATGCATATTCCTCATAGATATGATCAATCAGAATGTGTAAATAAAAACACTCACCTGCTGAGATTACCCAGAGTGATTATTATTTCT